CTATTAATTACTAATGGTTATATTTTATAAATATAAAAATTTTATTTGTAATAATTAAACTTTAACAGAATAAAATTAAAAAAAAAATTAAAACTCTACAAAAATGTCAAAAAAAAAAAGAAGAAAAACAATGCTTTTTTAAAGGAAATGTCCATTTTAGTCATTTCAAAATTAAAAGATCTTTTATAAAAAATTTTACCAAACAACTTTTACCTCTGAAAGTACTTTTATGAAAAATTTTACCAAACACTTTTAACTTCTCAAAAACAGTCCTTCCACAACAGATTCTTTCTAGCAGGACTTCTATTGAAAGCTCCAGCCACACCAAACGGACCCTTCGTTTAACTCGGTCAACGAATGGGTAATGTGTTTTGATTATTGAATAAATATGGACATAACAACAACAATTAAAAGAGTTAAGGAAGATGATTCTATTATAATATCATAATAATTCATTTCAAAATATTTACTATCAAACGTAAAATTTAATACTTTCTTAAACACTAAAGAAGAACAAAAATTATACAAAATTATAATTAAAGATATTAGTAAACAATTTCAATTTGTCATTTGCACTATTGTATCTAAAAGGAAAATCATTAAATGAGAAATTATGATATAATTACATGATATCATAATTAAAACATCTCAAATTTAACCCTAAAATCCAAAACAGTATCCAATGCGTGAACATAACCCATGTATGAATCGTGTCTTTTTTATATTCAAATTACCAAGAAAAACCAAAGGGGAAGGTAAATTTTACATGAAATACTAGTGAATAGTCTAGAAATAGTGTCGAAATTTCTATGTACCACTATTAATATATCATTATTCTTTTTTTTTTTTTTGGTACATTTGAATAAACTATATAAAAAAAAATAACTCTCCCCTTTTTTTGAATCCCTCTCCACCCAACTTAAGGTTTCGAATTTAAGATTTCCAACTTTAAAACCTCAAACTCTTGACCATTAACCATTAAGTCACCCCAATTATTCTTCATTGTTGACCTTTTTATTATTCTTCATTGTTGGTCAATAAAAAGGTTATTCTTTTTATTTTTGATTGGTTTTGTCTATAAATTTGACCCAAAAGAAAAAGAATTCTATAAAAAAAATATCAATATTTAATATCAACAAATTTTAAATATTTTGATAACTTATATCAATAATTTCGTATATAAACCAATAATTATATTCGAAACCAAAATTATATTCTATCATTTTAATTTTACATAAATTTATTCAAATAGCTAAATTATTTGAACAAAAATTCAAACATGTTAAAAATTTAAATAGTTTAGTAATATTCAAAAGGAAAATGTG